CTAAAATCAGTGATAGAAAAGGTACGACAGTGTGTTTACAGTCGTCCGTTGTCTAAGCCAGGGTGGACAGAGACCAGGCTCTCTAAAATCAGTGAGACAAGGAATTCCAGGAGTTTCCTCTGAGGAGCAATTTGACAAGCATGTTCTTATCTTCAGATACTGGATCCTCGATGAAACCAAGGAGTTTCAGTCACAGATATTTCACTGTGGTAGTTTTGCTTAATTAATACCGATGCTTCCAAATTGATGTTCAGCATCCCTAATTTGAAAATCAAAAATCTGAAATTTTGGGGATGAGATGCTATATGTGTAAAAGTTCATACTTGACCTCATAGGAGTGATTGGTCATAGTCAAAACACAAAACACAAGAGCACTGAAAACATGATATAAAATTACCCTCAGTTTATGGGTACAAGATACAGACAGACAAATTTTGTATTTAGACTTGTGTCCCATACCCAAGATATCTCTGACAGTACTTCAAAATTTAAAATTAATTAATTAATTAATTAGAACCCTTCTGGCTCGCCCAAGCACTTTGGAAAGGGCTGTCCTTTGTTCTGTCAGAACCAAGCTGATGGTCCCTATTGAAAATTGCTTTCATTGTACCCACTCAGGAATCTCTGGCCTTACCTGTCATTCAGGCCTTTTCCTTCCATGATTGACAGTAGTGTCGTCCCATTCAGCTTGCTTTGCCTTCTCTCCGTCAGCGCTCCACACATCTTCGTCCATCCCTTGCCCTGGAGTTGTTGATACAGCTGTTATTTTAGTAGACAGCGAGGGAGGGAAGGGGTGGGGGCAAGAGACGGGAGTTCCATGATCAGAGGACTTTAGAGGAAAGATTGGACCAAACCAGGTTAAATAGGTGCCATCATGGAAAAAAACAAAAGCTGCCGCCAGGCTGACACAGCGTCTGAAAACCAAGCATTCCCTCTACCTTAATAAACCTGTGTGTCTGAGTGGCTGAGATGTATCGCTTGTTGCACACCCAGAAGGTTTGATGGTGCAGCCCGCTGCATTTGAACTCCCAGCTCTTCACACCCCCGAGCAAGTGCCCAGCAAGGCAGGCTGCCTTATAGTAGCTGGTCAGTGACAGGCTGAGTGCAGTGTAAGCATGGGGACCTTCAGAGTTTTGTGCTTGAGTCCAGGGTCTGTGGTTCACACAGGACCACAGGACTCCAGTTCCAACCTCAGAATACACTGGAGTGGACCCCTTGGTCTGTCTTGACAGAATCGGGCTCACTAATAGATTAAATAGTTCCTGCTTCTCTAAAAATCCCTTCCCTTTATAATCCTTATGTTTAAAAAGCCAGCCTTTCCCCTGGGTGCCTTCTCAGGCCACTTTATGCCTCCTTTCTTTCAGAGGTTTGATCCCTGCTGAGACATACCTTGGCTAAAAAAACATGAAAATATATTGATTTATTTTCCCTGATCATTAGAAATAACATCCGCTACAAACACCTCTGAGAATTTGAATAGATAAGTTTGCCGTTCTTCACCGGAGTGTATATGTCTTCTGTTTTGTTTTTATAATGTTTCTCACAGATCTTGTGTGACTTATTGTCGCCTGAAAACCTAAAGGAAGGCCTGAAGGAGTCTTCCGGGAGCTCGTTACCGTGTATTAAGAACAAACCCTTGGGTTTCCCTGCAGTAGTGGAAGAGCCTCGCTCTCCGGGGGAGCTTAGCCTGAAGCAGGTACTGGTGGAAGAGGTGACCGTCTGCTCTGCAGCCCCGCCTCCTCCTCACAGCTAAGACCCCGCTCTCTCATGGTCCAGCAGGCAGACCCGCTTAAGTGTGCATTGCCTATCTAGTTATCGCAGCAGGGTCTTGTCTGCGGCTTTTGATTTATACTAAAGTATTTTCTCGTGGACCACCGTTTTAGGTCACTTCACTGTCAGTAAGTTGATGGTGTCTTAGAACATGCAGACAGTTTTAAATAGCTTATTCTCAGTCTCAGAGCATCTACATCAGCACCACTGCCTTAACCCTCACGGTGACATCAGTCCGCTTGATGTCTAAGGCGGTGTAAATCCTGACAAAACTCATTTACTTGCCCAGTTTGGGAATTAAAAAGTTCCGTTAAATGAGTTGAAATCTCACTCCCGTTTTTCTTCTGGGCAAGAGTAAAGGACGGCGAGAAGAGTTACCTCTGTGTATTGTGTTCTGTAGGCTGAAGAGCGACCGGAGGACGCCCTGGCTCCCGTCAAAGGAAGTTTAAACCGGGCCCGCTCAGCACAAGCCGTCAACACAGCGCCAGTGCCTGCCAGGGAAGAGGGTCTGAAGCGCGTGTCCTCAGAACCTTTACTGTCCGCTCAGGGAAAAGGCCTTCTGCTGAAAAGGAAGCTGTCTCTCCTAGAACAGGATGTGATTATTAATGAAGACGGGAGGAATAAACTTAAAAGGCAGAGTGGTAAGGCTTCCGTCCTCCCCT